CTTCTCCAACCAAAACCACAATGCAGAAAAGCCATGGACTAGATAACAGTATATCTTGCATATTGTCTCTAGTACTGATGTTCCACACCATTGTGGAAATGCCTGTGATTTATTGGTTTTTAGACGGAGGGAGGGAAGGAGAGAGAAGAGAGAGAGAGAGAGAAACATCAATGAGAGAACATCAATTGGCCACCTCCTGCATGCCCCCCACTGGGGATTGGACCCACAACCTGGGCATGTGCCCTGACCAGGAATTGAACCGGTGACCTCTTGGTGCATGGGTCGACTCAACCACAGCCACACCAGCTGGGCTAAATTCTACTATTTTTAAAGTCAAGTAAATGTGTCTAGCTGTCTAATAATATTGAACAGTCATATGCCCGTTTCCCCAGCTGCAGGCATTTTCAACTCCGACAGTGGCTTCTGCATGTTTACCACTCTTAACACTGCTACTGTTAATTTTGTGGTTCTCTTCCTTCCCTTCTCTTTCCCTTGTATTTCCAATATATCAACTTTTATTTACCTTAACTATCAGTCTTTGTATGTTGTGACCACATAAGTATTTCACATACTCTTTCTTGTACAACCTTTTGTTTTCTTTGAAGTATAATAATTGTTTTGCCTTTTCCTTTCCATTAGTCTTCTAAAGTGTAAAGACATTTTAGTTCTTGCTTATCTGAAAATGTTTTTCACAGTTGGATGGAGATTTGTTTAGGTGTATAATTCTGGTTTAGAAATTATTTCCTTCAGAATTTTGAACCTTTCCTTTTGTCCTATTTTGCAGTGTTGCTGTTGAGAGATGTGATTTTCTGAAAGCATGGTGGATCTTTGAACTTCATTATTTTATTTGGTTGTTCAATTTATTTAATGGGTGCAATGCTGTATAAAACTATTTGCTGAATTTCCAATCACAGAAACTAGCATGGTGTTTTATATGAGGAAATCTTCAGAATTTAGAACAAATGTAAACTCATAAGGCCAATGAGAAAAAAAGCCTTTTTTAAAATGAATAAATAATGGTTTTCATCGAAGAAGGTCAGTTTAAAGGCAGACTCGGCATCTGTGGTAGTGGTATTCCAAGTTCAGTGTGTTGAAGGCTCACCTGGTGATGCTTGTTAATCAGGTAGATTTCTGACCTTTCCCTAAGATACTTGGATTCATTCAGTCTGGTGTGGCTGAGAAATTTTCATGTTTCCAAGTAGGGATGGTGAATTCTGAATCATTCTGTAAGGTGCAGTTATATGAAACTGAAGGAAATTCTTCAGGCAATGTGGAAATGATGCCAATTTAAACTTTCTCTTTCTCATTTATCCAGATTGGTAACAGCTTTAGAGAAAAGAAATATATTATCTGTATGCACATGTTTTGACATATGGTTTTTGAATCTGTGGGGTTATACAGGACATCCTGTTAAGCAAGTAGAAGGCTGATCAGCACTTGCCATTAAACATGGGACTGGGCTGGGCTGTAATTATGCACAGTCTCTCTGTCCCAGCACAGTCTCTGAAACAGCATGTTTTAAAGAATGTTTTGAGTGATCTGTGGAATAGTATGTTATCTGTATAGAAATTCCTTGCTCTTGCGTGGTTCCCTGTAGAAAAGCAATATGAATAATTACATGGGCCTAGAGTGTTCTTTTCTTGTGTTATGGTCTTTGATATATTTTATCATCATGTTTGGGTATCTTTATTCCTTAAAGGTTAAAGTATTGTGATGAGGACAGTTAGGATATTGCTTGTGATTCACATACGTCTATTATCTATATTCAGAGTTTGAGAACAATTCCTTCAGGTTGGGGTTTGCTTAGAATGCAGCATGTGGATCTAAGTGCCTCATCCGTTCGGCATAAAGGCAGACGACGCTTGGCATGTAGGACATGTGTTAATTATATAATCATATTTACTTTATAAAGTAACTCAGACTCAACCTCCTGCTTTGTTAGCTGTTAATATATGTACATGAAAATTTTTGTGTTGGACTTTCATTTTTAATTTGGGAAAAAGTATAGTATAGCTACAGTAAAGAAAATTTAAAAACCAAAATCACCTGTTATCTTTTCATCTTTGCATAAAAGCTAAATTTCCCCAAATAATTTATATTTTAGATTGGCTCACATATTCATTGATTTAAAAAAAAAGTCATGTGTCTCTGAAACAGTATAACCAGTGTTTTCTATCTAATATAATTATGAAAATAATAGTTTAATTACTCAGTTTAAATTCTCTTGTCATTTCACACAGTATGGAGACTTTACGTATGCTATATTGTTTATATGAATTTTTAGTGCCTGTTACCCCTTAAAATTCAAGTGACTATTAAAGAAAGTGGTATCTATTAAAATAACATTTAGCAGCTTTTGCTCCTCCCATTAAAAAAATACCCACTTTTGAGAATTAAAAAAAAAAAGATTTTACTTCTTCTAGGTGATTAAATATTAAATGTTAGAAACATTGCTTTGTTAGCTGTTAATGAGGCCAAGAAAATGGAACTTATTTTTGGAAAACCCGCTGGTGAGGTGAGCAGGCCGCGGAGACTCCCAGGTCCCGGAAGGTCCGCGGCCGCGCAGGTGCTCACAGCAGCAGAGCCCTGCCCACTCGTGGTTCTGTCCTGTGGGGCCTGTCGGACATTCGGTGCCTTTGAGTGTTGGTATGTGCACTGAAGTAATGTTAATGTTTCTGCTGCAGTAATACGCATGCATAAAATATGTTATTGAAAACAGAAAACACCCACACACTTACCACCACCCAGCGGAAGAAATAGAGGCTGTGCTTCTAAAGCCCTGGGTGCCCCAGCACAGCCCTCTCTCCCCGGTGCCAGCCACTCTTTTAAATGTCACGTCTGGCATGTCTCTGATTTCCCTCAGACGTGTGCCTCTCTAAGCAATAAAGCACGTTAAATTATGAACGGGTTCCAACTCCATGTCAACGATGTCATACGCTGGCTCTCTGCATCTTGCGTTGTCTGCTCAACTTGGTTCTGACGTTCATCTCCAGGGCGTGTGGCTGCAGCTGACTTTTCACCAACATACATTCCTCTGTGTAGACTACACCACATTTTATTCTCCTGTGCAGGGGCACCTGGATTATCTGAAGTGTTTTGCTCTCACAAAGGGCAGTGCTGTGAGCATCCCCGCGCAGGGCCATGCTGACCTCTGTACCGTTCCCATCCTAGTCTAGGTGCTGCCAAGCGAGCACTGCCCAGGTTGGTTTGACTGCATGTCACATTCTGGGCCCAACGAGGAAGAAAAATGATTAAGTGTCTAGTAGACGTTGTTCTTTTGAATCATTTTAGTTGCAACCAACGCAATGCTCTTTCTACCCCTAGTGACTTTACATGTTGTTCGTAGCTGCTCTAGTGGTTATTGCTGCTCAAATAGCAAATCAAACTGAACACTGAGGGAAGTAGTTTTGCTTTTAATAAAACCATCTTAATGAGACCATTTCAAGATATAAAACAGCATTTAGAAAAGTTTAGAAAGATATAATTGATAATGGTGAGATTGTTGAACTTTAAAGACTGTTTTTTTTACTCCTCACCCAAGGATATTTTTCTATTTATCATTAGATAGAGTGGGAGGAAGGAAGGGAGAGAGAGTCAGAGAGAAACATCAGTGTGATAGAGCCACAGCGACTAGTTCCCTCCCGCACGTCCGGACCAGGGCTGGAGACTAACCGCATCCTAGGCACGTGCCCCTGACCGGAATCAAACCCGCGACTCATTGGTCCATGGTCCAACGCTCTAACCTGAGCCAAACCAGCCAGGGCTAAACTTTAAAGACTCTTAAAGTGTAATATATAAAATATTTAGTCTTGCCTCGGCAGGTGTGGCTCAGTTGGTTGAGTGTTACCCTGAGCACCAAAAGGCTGCCGGTTTGATTCCCAGGCAGGGCACATGCCTGGTTGTGGGCTGGATCTCTGGCGGGGAGGGCAGGAGGCAGCCAGACCATGTTTCAGTCTCTCTTTTCCTCCCTCTCTCTCAAAATATATACACCACCTTAACATGTCTGATAGTGAATATATGATTCTTATACAAAACCTAGAAACTATACTAAGCAAAAAGAGAAGAAACCATTACCTCTAGTAGCCCACTTGCTGGAGTTCATGAGTGTTAACATTTTGGTGTATATGTATCCACATTTTAATTCTCCATTTTATCATTTACATTTGTTTAATTATCAGAGAAATTGAATCTGTTTTAGAAGTTGTTAAAAGTGTACTGCAGCCCTAGCTGGTTTGGCTCAGCGGTTAGAGCGTCGGCCTACGGTCCGGAGAGACCCGGGTTTGGTTCCTGCTAATGGCACGTACCTCGGTTTCAGTTTGTCCCCGGCCCTGGTTGGGTTGTGCAGGTGGCAGCGACGCGATGTGTCCCTTTCATGTCGATGTTTCTCTCTCCCTCTCTCCCTTCCACTCTATCTGAACTAAGATGAAAAAATGTCCTTGGGTGAGGATAAAAAAAAAGTGTACTGCAGAGTGAGCATGCTTCTACATCTAGCGTGTACATGTGTACAATGGATTATGTGCATGTACATCAGTAGGTATTGTCCACACATATTTTTAATAAACTTTATTTCTATTTGTTACAGAGTATATAATTTAATGAAATATACTTTATATAAACAGCCTGGTATTGTAGGAAATTATAGTTTTTTGCTATTATAAATATATTGCTGGGGTGCAGTCCTCATTTATTTAGGATAATTGCTCAGGACTCTTAAGACAGCGAGACTCAGGGCTTGGGAAGCAGAGAGCAGCCGCCTCCACAGCGGCTCCAGGTACCGCCTCAGGCCAGGCCAGGCCGGGGCGGGGCCTCTCGCTGGATCCTGCGCGCTCCCCGGAGCAGGCCGCTCCTCGGGCTCTGGAGCAGGTGGAGAGACAGGGTCAGGCACATGCCTGGCTTCCCAGGGCCTTTCCAGACACAGGAGAGATGCCACTGCCCTTAAGTGACCCCGCCCCTGAGCCTCCCCTTGCCCAGGTCATCTTCCCAGACTGCAGGCCCCTCACCTGCTGGCTTTGCCTTCGTGGGTTTTAGATGCTTCAGCTTGACACAGAAAACGTGGGCATAGCCCACCTGGTGTGAGGCAAGAACGCTGACTTGCACCAAGGCCTGCTGCACCTCGCACCCGGGGAAGCATAGTGGTGGGCCGATACCCTGCACCTGGTCCGGCCAGGCTCCCATCACAGAAGCTACGGCCCTGGGGGAGGCAGGAAAGCAGCGGAGTCAGAGTCCTGGTCTCTCCTCCCCCACGGCCCTCCCATGGCACCCTGGTTTGGGAGCGGGCCTCTGTGCCTGCCTGGCCCATCCAGGGGTCAGCCCCATCCCTGGCCCCTGGGGCTGTCCTGGGAGTCACAGGCCTGGTGACCCAGCAGGCTAACACTGAGTATGCGTGAGTGTCCTCTACCCCCGACTGCTGTCCTGGAGGCCTGTGCACTGCCCACCCAGCCCTCTGAGCACTGGGCACCTGGACTGAGGACTGAGACAGGGTGTGAGCAGCCTGCTCCCCACGTCCTGTTCTGGGCCTGGCGATGGTGGTCAGGGGAGTGGGTGCAGAGAAAGCAGGCAGAGCAGGATGGTCTGTGGTGGGGATGGGACTCCTGGGGACAGCTCAGCCCAGCCTCCCCTCTGGTTATAAGAGGCCAGGGAGCCCACCCACAGTGCTCTCTGACCCTGTCCTCCTGGAGTGGAAGCCACCAGACCTCAGCCCTCCCTTGGGAATCAGCAGACGTGTAAGATCAGGGTTCTGCCAGCCCCTGTCCACCCGCAGCCCCTCATCCTGTTGACACAGGAGGCCTCCTTCTGGACCCAAAGACCACTCACTTTTTCAATTGGTCCTGGGGTGTGTCACCCTGGTCGTTATATGGCTGCATATTTCCAGATGTAGAGAACACCTGGATGGCATCAGATCTGATGGATGGTGGGCAGCACCTGCAAATGACATCTAGTGTGACAGTCTGACTCGCTGACTAGAACTGAGGCCCAGGCACTGTGTCTGCTTCGTTCCCTGAGTCAGGCTAAGTGTCTCCAAAGTGGCTACTGATGGTAGGAGCTCAATGCACATTGTCCAGTCAGTGAACTCCAACCAGAACCATGCAGATGTCTGAGTGGGCCTGGGGCCCCTGCTGTCCCCAGACATCTCTAATCTGGCCACACCAAGGACCAGGACAAGGACCAGCCAGGTGGAATCTCAAACTGCTTGACAGGCATTTTCCCATGAGCTTTTCCAAACTCAGATGCCACAGGCCACCCACCGATGGGTGAGTCAGGGCACTTCTCATGGGGAGAGAAGTCATTGCCAAGAACGGCCACACACGTGCCACAGCCATTTCTGCAGAGCCAGGCAGCAGGTCAGACCTGCCATGGCTTGTCCCCACAGTAGTCCTTGCAGGAACCCCATGAGGTTTATTCTCTATCATCCACTTTTCAGAGGAGCAAACCTAGGCTAGGCAAGATGTGGTGACATTTTCAGGACACAGGGCTAGCAGTGGGCAGAGTCACCACTAGGGGGCGTGTGCTCACCTAGTTAACAGCGGGTCCAGGAACAGCTGGGCTCTGGAGAAGGCCTGGTGGGTGGACATGAAGGTGGAGATGTGGGGAATTTTTCCATGTGGGAAAGCTGGTACCATGGACACCACCATCTTCTCCAGTGTGCCTTCCTGGAGGGCACGCATCCTGCAGGCCTCACGGAGGTTAAGAGTTAACTCGGCTGCACACTGGGTGGGACAAGGAGGGACATTCAGTCAGCGGCATCACTATGAACCCAGGAGGATGGAGGTCTGGAGCTCACCCTGGACCTGCCAGCCCTCAGGACATGTGAGAGAGGAAGGACAGGGTGCCCATGCCCAGTGAGGTTCAGCAAAATGCAAATGTTTTAAAAAACTTTTAAGTTTGGTGAGTGGGGGATGTTTATACAATTGTGACCTGAGCATGTTTTTAGCTGAGGAACATCAGACCTCTTGTATTAATAGTTTGTATGAAGGACATTGTCCCCATGAGTCCTCAGCAGACATCCCCACCATGGAGATGTGAACCCAGAGGCTTAGGATGTCAGATGGCTGCTCAAGGTCATACAGGTCAGAACTGAGAACTGTCCTGCATGATGCTCCCTCTCAGCTACCTGAGACTCATCTCTCCTGACATGGAGGGAGAGGGTCTGGGACCCTTGTCACTCCTCGGTTTAGAGAGAGTGTACAGGATTCACACACCTAGGAAAACCATTGACTTCAAAAAAGACACTTATTTCTCCTCCTTTTACATTAAAGTGTGTTTTGAGACTCTCATTATGGAGATCCCAGATTTTAAAAAAGGGCCAATGCCTGGAGACTCCAGGCTGGAGAAAGCCGACCACCAGGCTGGGATCTGAGCAGATGATGCAGGAAGAAGCAAATCCACGTGGCTGGTGAAAAGCTGACAGTCAGTCCAGGTACCCCAGAGGCAATCGCCAATCAAGGAACACTGATTGCCTTGGGCAGCTTGACATCAGATTGGTAAACATTTCAATGAGTGAGAAATCCCCGGGCAGGGCAGGAGCAAGGCAGCAGCCACCACCAGAAAGTGCTGTTGGCGACCTCACTGCCACAGCCTCTGGATGTGGATCCGCCTGCAGCTGTGAGGACTGGACATGTGCACGTCCTCCCCTGCACTGCGTGTCCATCTCCGGGGGATGGTATATACTGTGGTGTGGATTGTGTCACCCTAATTCCATGACTTTGGAACCCTGGAACTTCAGTGTGTGATTGAATTTGAGTTTTAGTCTTTAAGCAAGTAACTAAGGTCATGGAATTCAGTGGTGTGGGTGTTAATCCAATATAACCGGTGTCCTTTGAAGAGGAGGGGTGGACACATGGAAGTGCAGAGGGCAGTCCATGTGACACAGATAGAAGCTGGCCAGCTACGAGCCCAGGAGAGAGCCCTTAGGAGGAACCAGCCCTGCTGACACCCCACCTCCAACTTCTAGCCTCCAGAATTGTGAGAAAATGAATGTCTGCTGTTCACACAGCCAGTGCGGGCCCACGTCACGGCAGCCCGAGCAAACTCCCACAGTCCCTTCGGACACACTCGGTGTTCCCGGCCGCCCTGCTGACATGGCACCTGGACTGCACCACGGCCAAGGTCCGGCGGCACTGAGAGGGGCATCGCTGTGGCAGACGCCCTCCGTGTTGGAGGAGGTCTGCAAGGACAGTGGAGCTGCCTCCACAGGACCCCTGGGCCTGCAGTGCAACAACGAAACAGCAACATGCAAATGTGCTCCTGGTCTGCTGGGAAGGGAAACAACTATTTTCTCTGTTGTTCCTGCAAGTACGTAAGGAGTGGCTTTCTACCCTCCCTGTGGCTGGTGGGGGAATGGAGGTCCAGGTTCCTTGGTGCACAGGACTGTGGACAATTCGGTGGGAAGCCCTGGAGGTCCCCCAGGGTGTCCCCAGATGTGAGTCTGGGTCTTGACCCTCTCTGGCATCTTGGGGGTTTGGGTGTGGAGACTGCCCTGGGCCAGCTCTCACCTCAGACTGGCACTGGCCGGCGTCGTTGGCCCGGTGCACCTGCACCCTGACCTGGTAGGTGGTGTAGTTGGGCCCACGGGCCAGCACCTCAAGGATGTCCTCGCTGGAGCTCTGCAAAGACCAAGCAGGAGGATCAGGAAGCTTCTCCCCCACCTGTGGTCCTGGGAAGTGGCAGACCTAGCAAACTGACACAGTCTGTGAGGACACAGTGAGGCTGATCCCAGCAGCCCCGCTGAACTAGCAGCAGAACCGAATCATGTCAAGGTCAGCAGCACTGAAAGGCTGAGTCACTGAGGAAAACGACATCCTTCCTGGGCTGATATGGAGATGAACAAGGCCACACTCCGGACCTGGCCCACCTCCTACTTGCTCTGTGAGATGACAAGTTGCAGAGACATGTATCCAATCCCTAATCCCCCCCCATTTTCCTTTGCTACGAAACACTATCAAGTGTGAGGGTGTGTAAGGCTTGGACACGGTCTGCAAGGACAGTCCAGCCGACTGCCCCACAGAATACCCGAGGCAGCTAGTTAAACAATAAAAACCAGCAAAATGCAAAGACAACATTTTTTTCTCTTCTATTCCAACAAATATAAAGACTATTTCTACCCCAGCAGAAACCTGGTCAGGAGGATTGGAGGCACAGACTTCTTTGGGAGCGGGCCTGTGAAACCTTTAAGGCCCTTAGGGTCCGGGGTGTGGCCAACCCTACCTCAGACCGGCTCTGGAAGGGCTTCCTGGCCTGGTGCCCTCCTGTCTGGTACCGGTTGAAGGCGTAAGTGAACCCGTCAGCCAGCTCCTGCACGGTCTCTGGGGCGGGCCTCTGCAAAGACAGGCCCGGGAGGGTCAGGGGCCTGCATGGCCATTCCCATGGGGGGAGATGCCCACTACAATATCTGCGCCTCAAATCGGGCACAGAGGGGCTTCTGCAGAGACCTCCAGGCAGACAGGGAAGGAGATGATACCTTGACCCCAATTAACAAGTGGGCAGATGGACTTGGCCCCAGCACTCGCCTTCCCTTCCTGCCAGCCGTGACCTGGGCCATGAACATGACAGACCCGCCAGGCTTCCGACACCTAACAACCTGCTCCTGCCCAGGGCGAGTGCCCCTCATCCCACGCTCTCCCGCACCACCCCCGACAACCATACATACCCAGGAGGAGGGGTAAGAGGTGTGGGGCTGCCGGGGTGGGACCCCAGTAGGGACCTGGCCTGGATGGGCCTGTCCTGGGCTGCCCTCGGGTAACTGAGGCTGCCTCGTGCCAGAGGACGAGGGCTGTCGGCGGTGGCGCCTGCGCCAGTTTCTACAGCAAGAGAAACATCCCTCACTCCGGGTTTTCTTTAGCCCAGAGCCTCGGGAGCTCGGGAAGCAACAGAGAAACATCCTAGTCTCCTGACTGTCTCCAGTCAACTGAACTGGATGGGAGGTTGTCTCTAGAATGAGGGTGCCTGGTTACCACTTCTAATTTCAGTTGGGGATCTGTCACCAAGGAAGTGAGGTCACTCCTTCAAGGTTCCGTGACCCGGGCCCCTTCCTCCAATCAGAGCCACTTAAAGCCCCCTCTGGGCTGTTGGCCGCTCGGCCTTCTCCCCCAGGTCATCTCCACACCTGTCCACCATAACCTACCACAGCCTCCCCACAGCTCCTGGGACTGTCCCAGGTCCCCGGCTTGGAGAACGCTGAGTTCACACCTCCCTTTTCTTATCAGTTCTGTGCCCTGGGGAAGCCTTTGTTTCTCTAGGAGCCTCCCCAGTCTCCCCACCTGCACAGTGAGGTGATGCTAGACCCCATTTCCTAAGGACGTCATCAGGTGTGGAGGACATAAGCCTCTAACACCTGTGGGCAGGTGTCCCATGAATCTGATGCACAAACGTAGAGGTGGAAGGGTGACAAGAATGAGTGGACGCAGCACGAAACCCCAATCTAAACAGGCCTGGGGGCCAGCGTGGGGTCTTGGGGAAGTCACTGCCCACCTTGGCCTCATTTTAGGTCTGCAACTCTAAGAGAATGAAAATACAGGAAATTCAGATATTGTCATTCACTGGCCTAAAACCTTCCAGTGGTCTCTTGTTAAACCAGGAATCAGACCAAGTGCCTCATGTTGGCCATGTGGTGGCGCCTTCACAGAGGCTCTAGTGATCCGCCTCCTGGTGGGAACACCCTTGTGTGTCCGCCGAGTGCCTAGTAACTGCTTCTGAACAGCTGAGAATCAGCCCAGGTGAGGGCTGTCAGGGCTGTCACTTCTCTCGTCCTCTCATTCTTGAGTCCCCTCCTTTCTCAGCCTCTATTTCATTTTCTGTGCGTGTGTCTGACTCTGTCTCTGTCATATCTCTGGACCGGGCAGAGCTGCGCCCATGCTCTGCGCCGCCCTATGCAGATGCCCCATAGGAGCGAGCCGAGGGGGAGCCCAGCCAACAGGCAGGAACGCGGGCTCTCGGGCCCAACTGCGTCCTGACGGAAACCAGGCGAGTGACCTCGAGGGGAAACCTGTCCGTCGAGCCTCAGCTGAAACACATCTCCTGCTTCATGGAGACCTTGAGGCAGAGGCACCAGCCAAATCTGCCCGGATGCTGGTCCACAGAAGTTCTATGGTGTTCATGTCTGTGCTTACAGGTGCAAGGTTAGAGAGCAGTTTTGTTTGTGCCTCAGTTTCCCCATCTGACACTCGGCAATAATAAAAAAAAATACCCTTCCTGAGGGTATGGAGAGTGTTAAAGAATTAATGTTTGAGTCGTGGCCAGTTTTGCTCCATGGTTAGAGCATCGGCCTTTGGACCAGAGAGTCCTGGGTTTGGTTCCAGCTAAGGACACGCACCTCGGTTGCAGTTTGTCCTTGGCCCAAGTTGGGGTCATGTGGGTGGCAACCACTTGATGTGTCTCTCTCACATCTGTTTCTCTCTTTTTCTTCCTCCTTCTCTCCCTTCCTCTCTAACTGGAGATAAATGCAAATAAATAAATAAGTGTCCTTGAGTGAAAATAAAAAGAACAAAGAATTAATGTTTGAAAAATGGTGGGGACACCTGGCACATCACAAGGGCGGTGTGTACATGTTGTAAATCAGTCTGAAGGTTCTTCCAGGGTCTGTAAGCGCCTGAGGGTGGGGACTAGCCCTGACCGAAGGTAGGAAGCCCTCCATACACACGATGAAGGAGGAGTGAGTGACACTTAGGAAGGCCTTGCAAATGTCCCCTCCTGCCCTGGCCTCACATCACCCATGTGAAGGGCTGGGGCAGCCCATAGGTCTGTGCGAGCCTGTCATGGTTTGAGGCCAGAACTTCTCAGGATCCTGGGGACTTCTAGAGAGTTGGGGCTTCCTGGGTGGGAGTGGAGGTGATGGTCAGGTCAGCCAAGCCTTCACGGGGGCAGCAGCTGCTCTCTGCTATGGGTGTCCTAATGGCAGGTGCACCTGTGGTTCTCACCATCCCCTCCTACATCTGTGTGGCCGCTGCAGGGCTATAAATCTGCTCAGCGAAGGGCAGGAGGAGAGCCTTCTCTACATGTGGCTGCGTCTCACTGTGGTTTGCCTCTTCTGTGGAACCGGTGTCTTCACCTACATGCATCTGGGTTCAGAGGGGGCTTCGGACAAGGATAAAGGGGTTGGGGTTTTCAACACAGTTATCAACCCCATGCGGAACCCACTTACCCACAGCCTTAGAAACCCTGATGCTCAGAGTGCCCCACGGCAGGTCCTTGTGGGGAGGTGGTTGGTGACCTAAGGGGTCATAAGTTCTCTTCTCTCCTTCAATTTTTGGGTTGAGGAAAATTTCCCATGAAGGCAGTAAACTGGAGAAATTGTTATGATACTCTTCTAGATATAGAAATTATTATAGATACTGACATAGGAAAACTTTTGTGTTACGTGTTTTTCCTGCAAAGAAACCCTATAATTATTTCATTTATTCATACAATAAATATTGATTGAATTGTTTCTACATTCTCAACACTGTTCTAGGGCACTGGTGAACAAAATAGACAGATGTCTTTGCACTTGTGCAATGCACATTCTAATGAAGGGACCCAAAATAAATAAACAAATGAGTGTTATATGTGATATAAAACACATACTGGTACATACTAAGTTAAATTAGAGCAGCCTGAGAGTGAGAGAAAGAGACAGAGCAGTTAGCTTCTTATCAGCTGGGAGCCAGCTCACAAGAGACTGCTCACATTTCTGAGTGCTGTGGGGATGTGGAAGGAACTTCCAGGGGGCTATTTCCAGGATGACCTAAGAGAGACAGAACAACCCTTCTCTGCTGGAAGGTGAACCAGCGCCATTGGCTAAAGAAGCGCAAGGTTGCTTTGCCTTCCTAGTGCACTGAGAGCTTCCTCTCCTTTCTGAATCCAAACAGGCAAATAGACCCAACCAAACAAAAGTAACAGCTTCTGTCCCTCCTGGGGAGAGTGCAGGCTGCATTTGGAGAGGTTGTTTTTGAGAAATGTATCAATGCTCCCAACAATAGCAACATTTGGCTCAGCAAGTCCACTGCATCAGTTTCGCCTAAGAAAACAAACAGATAAGAAAAGGAAGACATCTACTGACAGTTATAAAGTGTGGGAAAAAATATAAGCAAGTAAATATTAAATAATGGGAAGTGTGTTCAGTGAAATTTAATTATTTACTAAATTGCACACTGAAATACTGCATAGGCATTAAGCAGTAATATAGCTCAATATTGACTAACACAGATGTTATGTAAAATATATTTTCCAAAACAATAGAATTTATTCTGAAAAATACCTTATTTAGTAGACATCAAAGTTCCCAATTTAAATACAGGTAATTATTTTTGGCTTATTTTCACTGTAATATTTCTGCAATAATGCACATTATTGATTTAAAAACAATAAAAATTAAAAATAGACAACATTTAATGGTGTTTTATGTCTACAGAACATATTCCAAGCTCTTCAACAGGGCATGGGTGGCCCACCCCCAGCACGTCCTCTTCAGCTGCAGGGCATGCTGCTGCTTGGCCACAGTGACACTCAGCTGGGACAGTCCCTGCACACCTCAGGCTGTTTCCTGTCTCATTGCCTTTGTCCAGCTGTTCCTGCTTAATGACAACTGCACTGACTCTGGGACAGGCCCTCTGCCAAAATTTTATATTAATCTTCAATCAAAAATATTTCATCATTAATTTTTAGAGAGAGTGGAATGGTGGGAGGGAGATAGAGAAATATTGATGGGAGAAAGACACATTGATTGCTTGCTTCCCGCAGGAGCCCACCTGGGTCAGGGATCACACCCGTAACCCTTCGGTCCAAGGGCCAGTGCTCCAACTGCTGAGCGAAACTGGCCAGGGTGGCTATTGCATTTTTGATTCGATGCTTTTTCAGTGCCTATCACTTGTTATTAACTTTTATAAATATGTTTATTTTTATTTTAGCATTTTAATTCTTAGGTTTAATTTTCTAGAAAACCTGCAGCATCTGAGAAATTTCTTTTTATTTTTATTTTCTTTATTGATTTTAGAGAAAGAGGAAGAGAGAGGGAGAGATAGAAACACTGATGAGAGAGAACACCGATTGGCCGCCTCCTGCACATTCTCCCCTGGGGATCAGGCCCACAACCTAGGCATGTGCCCTGACCGGGAATCAAACCGGTGACCTCTTGGTGCATGGGCTGACGCTCAACCACTGAGCCACACCACACAGGCAGAAAAAAAATTTTTTTTTTTAAACTTACTTTATATATAAGTGTGGTTGATATTCAATATTATATTGGTTATATTTCAGGTGTACAATATAGTGATTTGACAATTTTATATTTACAATGTGACCATCCCACTAATCTTAGAATCATCTGTCACCATGCTAACTTATCACAATATTACTGACTATATTTCCCTTTCCCTTTTTCACGCAGCCCCCAGTCCCTCCCTTCTGGTAACCATTTCTTTGGTCTCTGTTTCTATGAGGCTGTTTTTGTTTTGTTTTTTATTGTCTTTAGATTCCACACACAAGTGAAACCATATAGTATTTGTCTTTCTCTGCCTGAGTTATTTCATTGAGCTTAATACCGTCTAGATCCACCCACGTTGTTGCAAATGGCAATGTTTCATTCTTTTTTATGGTTGATTAATATCCCATTGTATATAGGTACCCACCTTCTTC